CAGGGGTACAAGTACTGCTTACTCATTCACAAGGGATGTGGGAGCATCTGGGTGTGAATAAGCCCCCTGTCCGCACCCCCACAACCAACGCCCCAGGGCTTGTGGGGAAGAGGCCCTTGTCCCCATCAGCACAGGGACAAGCTGCCTTTCTAGGGGCGACCCTGGAAAAGCCCCCTCCCAGTGCCGAGGGCATGTGGCCTGGTATGGCAGGAGGGGGGCACTCGCTCACCCCCCCAGTGCTTGGATCAAGGGTCTGGTTGGGAATTTTATGGGGGACCCCATGTTTTGTTTTTCCAATTTTTGGGGGTGGGGTTCCTTCTTAAAATTCCTACCAGACCTTAAGGGCCTGGTATGACTTTGAGGGGGAACCCCACTCACTTTTTTTTACACAGGGTCCCTCCTAAAATTCCTAGCAGACCTTAAAGGTCTGGTTTGACTTTTGGGGGGAACCCCGTGGGTTTTTTTTTTCCTTCCAAATGGGGTCCCTCCTAACAGTCCTACCAGACCTAAAACTGCACGTTTTTTTTTTTCCTTTATAAATGTCATTTTTGCTGCAGCAGGGTCTATACATCGTACAGATGCGCCACTGTACAGGCAGTTTAAGGGGACCCCCCAGGCACGATATTTAAAGGAATTTTTCATTTTGATTGTTTCACTTTAAGCAATGTTAAAATCACTGCTCCTTTAAAAACTATATTTTTGTAAAGTGTTTTTTTGCATTTATACATGTCCCCCAGGGCAGTACCCGAATCCCCATACCCTTTTTATGGCCAATAACGTGCGTATAAGCCCTCAAAAAGGGGACAATTGATTTTTCAAGTTCGGGTACCATAGACTTTCATTGAGTTTGAGTTCAAATTTGAACTTTTTCCATGTTCTAAAGTTCGAATTCGAACCAAACACGGGGGTGTTCGGCTCATCACTAGTAACCATGTTCATTTTGTCTATACCTATCATCCTGATATTTCATATCAAATAGACAGTGAAAGGGAAGAGGAGCATTGACTAAGGTGACATCAGAGAAGCTTCCATGCACTAGGAGAGCTTGTAGGGAAGAGTTTTACTAAGAGGAAGAATCACTTTAACCACTTGAAGACCGTTAAACCCCCTTCTATCAGGGCAATTTTTCAGTATTCAGCGCTGCGGTACTTTGACATTTATTCCGTCATGCAACGCTGTACTGAAATAAATTTTACAGCATTTCTTGAGACAGACAGAGCTTTCTTTTAGTGGTATTTTTTTTGTACTATATAAAGAAAAAAGTACTGAACATTTTTAAAGAAAACTATTTTCCTTACGTTATGCTATGAAACATTTATTATTAGCCATTTTTTTTGGTAAAATATAACAAATGGGGTCACGTCGGGTAAATAGACACCAAACATGTCACGCCTTTGAATTTTGTGCACCCGTGAAATCACAAAAAAACTACCATACCCAAAATTGCCATAAATGACGCTTTAAAAGCTTTTACAGCTCATCAGTTTAGTGTTAACAGTGATTAAGGGCCCTAGAATTATTGCTCGCACTGCGACGTTCGCGGCGATATGTAACATGTGTGGCACAATCATTTTTGCATGTAGGTGCACCCGACTTGTGTTTGCATTTTTATATGTGACCTTAAGTTTTTTTCAAACTTTTTTTTCTTTTTTACTCAACTTTATTGTGATCACAAAAAGGTACTATGTGGTAGCAAATATACAGTGGCAGGTCCTCATTGTGTCTATTAGACTACTAGTTTCACCTATGAACCCCAAAGAAGCTGATGAAGCAGAGATCGGCATTTATCAGCTTATTCTCCGGCTATAGCAGTCGGAGTAATACACATCACTTCCGCATTCAGTGATCGGAGGGAAGATCAACCGGTGACTGTGTGCTGATTTCCCTCCCATCTCAGGTCCTGGGCCCGCACAGGGGATAGTGGAGCCTGGGATAGCAGGCAGTGGCGATGGAGGGGGCCCACACTTCCATGTATCATTCCAGCAATCAGACTGCTCCAAAGTCGTCTGAATGCTTATATGGATCAGCCGTCGCTGGCTGTTTAAAATGTTTACCATGATGTGCTTGTGCGCATGCTAGAGGGTGCGGTCGAGTAGGTCCAATAATATAGAATGGGCGGACGGCAAGTGGTTAAAGTAGTTGTAAAGGCAGCATATATCCCCCCGGCCAAATGATAGCTCCAACATTGCTTCTTCACTCTTACATTGAATTATTTAACAGTGAGCATGAACAGAGAGGGGAAACCCAGAGACTATGCATAATAGCGTTGTCGGGGCTCAGCATGCCAAGTGAGGGGGAAGCCCAGATATAATGCATAACAATGAGATGGCAAAGCTTCCAGGTGCTGACAATGCCTTGGGGATAAGCCATTCTTATGGAGGCAACATAACGTTGTCAGCCCGCACCCAGAACTAAGATCATAAGCAGTGATAGGCAGGATCACCAGGTCATTTATTCATATCAACTAAGGCTAGTTTAACTACCTGCTGTCCGGCGGGTGGGCGTCTTTAGACGTCCTATCCCGTTCCGCTCGTGCTTTGAATGTAAACAGCACTTAAAAAAAAAAAAGTTAAAAAAAATTTGTTACAATAAAAAATAAAAATCACATATCAAAGCAATAAAAAAAAATTAAAGTCCCCCGCCCCCACGCAAACATGCGTCAAGCCCGCCTACGTGTGAAAACGCTGATTACATCCATTGCGCCACACATGTTACATATCACCACGAACATCGGAATGAGAGCAATAATTCTAGGGTCATCCATAACTGATAACCCTAAACTGATGAGCGGTAAAAGCTTTTAAAGCGTCGGCTATGGTCAATTTTGAGTATGGTAGTTTTTTGCGATTTAACAGGTGCGCGTAATTTTAAAGCTTGACATGTGTGGTGTCTACTTACCCGACGTGACCCCGTCTTTTATATTTTACCAAAAAATTGGATAATAATAAATGTTTTATAACATAACGTATGGAGAACAGGTTTTTTTTTCAAAATTTGCGGTACTTTTTTTATTATACAGTATCCTTACAATAGCTCCCTTCCATCCACATTCTAATTCACATATTTTATTATGTTAATACAACCTCAATATATATTCAGGACTATCTAGAGCGTTGATCCCGTATATGTGTGTCAAGTAGGAGCCACTATATCCAGAGGTGTCTGTTAAAACTTGGTGGCTGAGTCCAGGTCAGATTCCCCTCTACATCTTACTGAGGGCTACCACAGAACCTGGCAGAATACAATGCAGGCGATTCCTCGATCGTCAAACTGTTTGTGTTGATGGAGAGATGGCGTCACTTTTTTTAGTTCAGCCCGCGGGTTGAAGGAAAAAAATGGACAGATGTATGGGCAGCCTTAGGGTGTGCACACAGAAGTACAAACACATGTATATATATTATACATACATACATATATACAGTACATACACAGACCTGAGGCATCCGGGATTCCCACCTCTTCACCTCTCCCTTACCTCTTCCAGCAGGGGTGCAGTAATGAAGCAGGGAGCCTGGCAAGTGGTCATGTGACCACCCTCCCAGCTTCCTGATTGGATGGGAGGCCGCAGCATGCTCCCTTGCACCTTCCTAAGCATCAAGGACAGCGGCTGTTATGTGAGCAATGTACCGTATATACTGTACATAGAGAGGAGGAGGGGGGCAATGTATATAGTGAGGGGGAGGGGGG